GTTCCCAAGCCATTTCAGCATCACCTAAAGATCTGGAAAACCACCACACACACACACACACACACACACACACTAGCATTACCTTTGGCTTCTTTCCAGAAGTGCCAATGCCTACCATGTGTGTCTCCCCAGTAAACACATCTAGAAATCCAGATGGACCTTAGGCACTTAGGGTCAAGAAACATCTAATGCAGACCTCTTAAAAAGGTGCCAGCTATCTGTTTTTGAAAAACAGATGCAGGAGATGGCGCTGTCTCCCCATCCTACCCCGCCCCCCCCTAACTAGCTGCCACCCCTCACATCTCATTTTCCTGTCTACAGGAAATTGTCAGATTAAATGGGAGAAATGCATGGGCTGCTCCTAGCAGAGACTAACCAAGGAGCCGTGGCTTCTAACTGGATGCAAAGATTAGAATAGACAAGATAAGGTGGGGAAGCCAAAAACCTCATCCCAAACACCACACCCTCCAAGTCCAGGCCTGCCCTCAGCCTTCCTTATCTCTGTGGATCGATAGGTACTCTTCCTGCTGTAATACTTAAATCCTTTATTTCTTTTTCCTTTCATTTCTTTTATTTTTTATTTCTTTTGTTTTTTGTTTTATGTTTTTTGTTTTGTTTTTGGAGACAGGGTTTCCCTGTGTAGCTTTGGAGCCTATCCTGGAACTAACTCTTGTAGACCAGGCTGGCCTCTAACTCACAGAGATCCGCCTGCCTCTGCCTCCCAAGTGCTAGAATTTCAATCCTTGATTTCTTATATTCACTGCATTAGAAAAATCCCTCTGATTTTACCTGTGGACTCCCTAGGGAACCTGATAACCTCTCACCACCCCATAGCTAGTACCTTGGTCCAACTTGGCATCCTAACTCCTGGACAGTTCCTTGTCTCTTGTGGGGGGGGCATCCCAGATGGACTCTCCATCATGACTCCTTACTATTCACACTTTCAAGGAGTGCCCTCCCACACCGCTTGCCAGGATCAGTTCATAGGAGCAGTAGCGTACGGCAAAAGTGACAGTCACTTTTACAATCAGATCATGAGGCCATCTCCCCACCACCCCTTTCTTTATTCATGAGCTCTGACAGAGGACAACTGTCCTATCATGTGAAAAGCTGGCCTCCCTGACCAGCAGAAGGACCAAGGACCGCCAACAATTGTAATTCTCCAACCGCCATCCAGACTCACTCAGCTGTGACCCTGGGTGACAACCTGAGCCAGAACCAATGGGGTAAGTTGTCCCCAGGCTGTTGGGGATGAAATCCAGTTGAAGAGCATTATCTCCTCCTCAGTCTCCCTGCCCCCTCCTCTCTCTTTCCCAGCCTCCAAGGTGATTTTTTTTTCCGTGTGCCCCTTGCCATGATCTTCTGATCTGACACAGGCCCACAGCCAGGGACCCAAACTGAACTGAAAACTTAGGCATGCTCATTCAAACATACAAATCCACCCATTATAGTATGTGCTCCCCGTGCTCCAGCTCAGTCCTCCTCTTGGATCAATCAGAGCTGGAAGGGTTAAAGGATAAAGCTAAAGAGCAGAAGCTGAGGGGCAGCAGGGAACAGAAAGACAGGAAATGGGAGAAGGATATTTTAAATGGGAACAGTTTGTTAGGGCAGTAGCTTGAGAAGTGTGTGGGGAGACCAAAACCTAAGACACTGACAACTTTCATGTCCATTTACTTTTCCATCTTTAGGGCAGTTTTTGGTAATGGCGTCACACTACTCGTGGAGTTCCTCACACGAAGGACACCCTGACCTCAGCAACTCATAAAGGAAAGCACTTAATTGGGGGTTTCTTACAGTTTCAGAGTCTAGCCCATTATCATCATGGCAGGATATGGTGACTGTAGACAGACGCTGGAGCACTGGCTGAGAGCTACCTCCTCATCCGCAGGCAGAGGGAGAAGCTGTTCTGGCACAGGCTTTTGAAAATTCAAAGCCCACCCCCCAGTGACACACTTCCTCCAACAAGGCCACACCTCCTAATTCTTCTAATCCTATCAAAGAGTGTCACTTCCTGATGACTAAGCGTTCAAATACATGAGCCTGTGAGGGCCACTCTTATGCAAACACCAGTGTTCTAAATGCCTTACATAAATTAAATTACATATTTCCCAAACAACCCTCCTCCCCAATTTGAAGCCAGCCTCGGATACCAAGCTCTTCAGCAGGTTTGCCTGAGGTCTTGTAGCAGACAGGGTGGGATCTGGATTGCAGACTCTGAAGCAGCTTTCTCATTTGACACAGTGCTATTATTAGAAAACAATTTCTTAGCTGGGTGTGGTGGTGCATGCCTTCAATCCCAGCACTTGGGAAGCAGAGGCAGGAGGATCTCTGAGATCCAGGCCTGCCTTGTTCAGATTGAGTTCCAGGACAGCAAGGCTACACAGAGAAAACCCTGTCTCCAAAAGAAAAAAAAAAAAAAAAAAAAAAAAAAAAGAACAGAAGGGGGGAAAAAAATAACACATTTTAAAAACAAACCAAAATA